TCAAAAGATAAATAATTCGTATTACATTTGAAGCACCATATCTTTATTGACGAATTTTAATTGTTTGAAAACATTAATATTTTTCACATGTTATTGCACATGAAGGCACTATATAATTTAAAAATCGAAAATAAATTGAAAAAATTTTCGACTCGGGCAGGACTTGAACCGGCATCGTCAGCTTCAGAGCAACAGCACGGAAAGCTGACGATGCCGGTTCAAGTCCTGCCCGAGTCGAAAATTTTTTCAATTTATTTTCGATTTTTTGAATTTTAATTGAATCAAATCAATAAAAATCTTAATAGCTTAAATCAAAAGAATTCTCGAATTTATTCTACTTTTATAGAATATAAATTCGATTGAGAGGCATTATTATGATTACCTGCCTGCGGAACTTAAGACTTAAGAGGAAAAAGCAGTTTGCAAAGAACTTTCTTAGCTTATACCACGACATGCTTATTACATACAGCTCAATATACTAAGAATACCGCAAGTTCAATAAATTACTCATAAAATCTTCACAAATAATTTTAAGTAAATAACATTAAAATATGCATAATTTTCTGTCTTCGTGGCTTAGTGGTTAAATTTGTTGCCTAGTATAACGTTAAGTAACACGTCCCTGTTCGAAAAATATATATTTCAAATATAGTTATTGCACATTATGGGCGAAAAAACAATTACGACACGTTCCGTGCTGCTCTAACCAATAGAGCTGTTATGTGCCACGGTACGAATTTTCAATATAAAAACATATATATTTTAAGAGATCCTATTTTTTATACGAGGAAAATAAATCCTGTAAATATTATCGTGGATAAACAAAAACAAGATTTCACTTTTCATATGTCGTTTATAAACTTTTAAATCCGGTGGCTAGAAAATTCTAAGTGAAGAGTTCACAGCAACTTCTTTACCCCTTAAATCTAGACTTATTCATGGACACGTATCCAGTTATCTGTCGGCGTAAAAGTTGGGAATTCAATATAGATCCGATCTGTTCGGCAATTTGCGGAAAAACCCACGTGAAGGCACGACTGTGTTAGATTGAGTTCGTGATTCCGCAGACACCGGCGCGATATAGGGTTAATGTTATTTTATGCATTTGCATGCCAAACATGATCAAAAAGGAATTATAAGCATATTAACGCAACGAATATACATAAAATTTAGGGGGGAGACGAGCGAACTACGAATATTATGGACTGTAATTTGGTAATACGTAATAAAAGTATAATACTCAATGTTTTACAGTTTTAAATCAGACAGAGTATTAATTTCAACAACTTTTAAGTATAGTTTTGGCAAGTAATAGATATTTAAATAAAAAAAAGTTATAATTTCCATATAGATTAGACTTATACCACCTCCGCGGGTAAATAGTTAAATAAAACATGTCTATAGTTTACGCGAGTAGTACACATTTAAATAAAACCGCCCGACCACGTCTCCCCGTGACCACGGCTGCTGCAAAGCATCCGAAACGTCGGGCCGAAGTAAAAAAATCATTTTTAAATAAGTTTAACTAATATATCGCGTTTTCAACCGTTAAAGTGTTTTATTTAAATAAATAAAACATGTTATTTAACCTACAACCCTCGTCGCCATGGCTGTTTCAAAGTATCCAAAGCATACCGCCATATTTTAAAAAAACATTCACATTTTAAACCCTTAAATTTTTATATTTAAAGTAACAGTAGATCGTGTGAGTCACCATAAATATTGTCTGCCGCCTATATAAACATAGAAAATATTAAACATCCTTCCGTTTGAACTTTGGAGTAGGTACAGAATTGAACGCTTATAAACTAAGTCTAAACAAAGAAATAGGTAATCTTTAAAGCTGGAAAACTTCAGAGCCTTTATACTTCTTAAAGAGGCTTACATTAATTACTTTCTTTTTAGCACAAAAGCTTTAATGATCGTTTATCAAATATAAACTGTTTGACAGGCTGGCAGGCAGGTTATAGAGTTTATTTAAAAGCTACAATGATATTTTATAATGAACAAATTTCCCGCCTCACTTATAAACACGTGATCAAATAAGTACGTATTTTCCTCCTATTATTGTTTTCCTCAAAAATCTGGATAACATTTATAATGTAAAGGGATACTTTCGATCTATTTAACGTCTATAATTTACGAGAATAGAATACAATTAATAAAATACTTTTTAAAATAACCACTACCAGTGAATACTATAAACCATCCAAAACATTAAGTTGTAGTTATAAAAAATATTATCATTACATGTGCGTTTTACGGCGTTTTAATGATGTATGACTGAGGAGGACAGATATGCAAGTGTTTCACTGACAGGTAGGTAAAATTCCCTAGCCATATAACATCTATGTAGCCACTCCGTTTAATAAGCATATTCTCTTATTTTGCATTAATGCACGTAGTCACATATAGACTATTTTTACAATTACTCAGGCATTCACTTTCACCATTTTTGTATATAAGCCTTATTATATTAAAACAGACTAAAACCACTCCTGAGTCTCATTTTACTCCTTGCCAACAAGATTGGCAAAATCTAAATAAAATGCGCTAACAACCTGTTTTGTCCTTGGATTCGAAAACCTACACACTGCAACTGAAACGCGAATAATCTTGACGACATTTTCATCTGTGGAAGTAGTTAGTAACCTGGATGGAATTTCAATAACCCTACCATAATATAAATGTTGTATCCGATGGCGATCGAACCCATTTTGTCGCCTGGAAGAGATCGCTACTTAGCGGTAAAGCCGCCTTTTATTTATAAGCTGCACGTAAGATTTTCCTCATTAATGTGTATTTGTGGTGTGTTTTATAAATAATAAAGCAATAATAAATAAAATAAAAACCCACGACTCGTTGATTATCATTAAACAGTGTAAAAGTAAGCTGAGTATACTTCTTTACTATATAAGAATGAATGTCTTAATGACAAATTGCGTAATTACTTTAGTTAAATAAGTTATAATGTGGGCAAAAAAGTCTTTCCTCTAATTAAAATACAAAGGGCAAATGAACAGGTTTTCCTCAGACCGCCGACCGCGGTCGCTAAATCTCCGAGATTTCAAATTAGCTTTTTAACGAAAAAAATACGTAAATTGTGAGCGTAATTATTTTTTGCGGTTGACATAAATGTTTTATAACCTAAAACAACTTTAGGCCTGTGTTTTGATACGATCTTCTTACTATTTATCTTAAGACTAGCCTTGTGAGCGACTTTGTCCGCTTATAATAGTTATTTTGGGCTTCCAATTTTGTTTTTTCAAACAAAATTTAAGCTTACCCACGATGTCGGTCGCGTCCGGTCGTTCTTGCAAGTTAATCTTAAAAGATAGACTTATAGCATCAATAGACTTTTCTGTAGACCAATTAAAGAGGAATCATACTTTCATACATTTATTTGTTTATCTTGAACCGTTTTGCAACATACGCATCGGAGACCTATACTGATTTTTCCAATTTTTTTCACTTTACCCACTGTTAATTCGATCCTGTGAGTCACAGCGCAATGTTAGTTTCTGAGATTAAACAAACAAACTGTTTAGCTTTATATATTAGTATAGATAATTTGATTCTGAAAATGATCTTTTATATAATTAAAAAAAAATTGACTCGGGCAGGACTCAGAATTATTCAATTTATTTTCGATTTTTAAATGAAATAGTGCCCTCATGAGCAAATAATATAAATATGTAAAAAATAATAAAGTTTTCAAATGATCTTTTATATTGGTAAGAAATAATTAATTCAACCATATGCTTTTAACTTGTAAATGTAACGTTAAATTTAGTATTGTTATTAGGTATCTTCTTTGAAAACCGGTTTATTTTTCAGATAAGGACAAAATATCTTTCAATATAGTTAAGTAGGGTCTAAATAAAGTTTAGAAAAAGTGTGTGTGTCTGGCACATCTCGTTTCCCTCCACTCCACCTTCCGTTTCCAGCCAAATTACACTAAGAAAGGTCAGCGGCGTTTTAAGGATATCAAAATAAGGGATTGTTTATCTACGTCAATCACTTTGCTGTAATTGACGTTGAGAAAACACAAACAAGAATTAGAAATCAATTTTCCTTTTATTTTCAATCTATATTAAAATCTCGTTTATTTTGTAAACTTAATATTAGACGTATGAATTACAAGATAATATTACGTTGTAAAATAAAAAGCTTCACATTTAAATGAGATAATTTAACGGTTTAAAACGCGATTTATATTAGTTCAACTTATTTGAAAAACACACGTTAACAACAGACAGTATTTAGCTTCACATTAATCGAGTTTGTATAGATAATTATTATTATGACATAAAAAGTTATATATATATATATATGTTAGTATAACATTAATGTGTGACACGAAACTATATATACTAAAATAAATCACAATGTACAAAACTATTTATTATACGTTTAAAATACTACTAGAAGGTTCGTCTCAGTAGAACCTACTAAACTCTACTGCAACGGACCGCCAAGGTTAAAAACAGTAAATACAATATGCAGCGCAACACTATCCCAAAAGGCGAGACTAAAAAGATTCTTCAAAAATACAATACGAGATTCATAAAATATGCAGCACTGGCTACCTTCACCGTATTTGAAGCGAGAACTATGTACGACAAAATGCACACAAATTTGATAAACACAAAGAAAACGTGGGTAGTACTTTTATGAATTAACAAGCAACTGAAACTTCGGTGCCTTGACATGAGCGTACAAGGCATTCAATAAAAACAAAAGATTCTTAAAATAAATATAAAACTCTATATTTGGTTGTATTTTTAGTTTATATTTACAATAAATTACATATACCATAGTGTTCCGTCAAAGAAATATTCCCCTCTTTTTAAAATAGCCTAAAGTACAATGAAACTGTATTTCTGTTTTCTGTGTAAACTACATACAGTACGTAGCCTAAGATGATTTAGACAATTCTACAATCTATATGGACACACAAATATCCTGTTTTGTCTTTTTTTTACTTGGGGAAATGCATTATGCACCCCTACTCCAGGGTCGGTGGTGGTTATGGGAGAATGGGACTGAAACCCACTAAAACCCCAAGGGCTCGTCATTGTGCAGAGTTAAATGAAGGTTGGTTAAGGTTATCCTTGTCCAAAATCTTGATTTTAAAAGTAGTGTGAGACCGATCTGTCAGCTCAAAACACGCCGAGGACGTTCTCTGCTTCTTCTCACTATCCTTTTTGTCTAACTTAACTAACCTTCAGTTTAACTTGGGACTAAAATTATTACAAACAGATCTCGCATAAGCTCTAATAACTCTATTTAAGTAAGCAATTAAAATACTCAATTAATATCTAAGTAAAACACTAAATATAAAACTACTAATGAATATAAATAACTCGTAACAATCCTTACGTTTAAAGAAAGGCTAAAGCTCCTTAAAAGTTAAATGACTCTTTTCAGTTTTGATTAAACTAAATACAGAGCAGTGATTGCAGACCTCATTAATTTCGACGAAGCCTCATTGAACTTATAATGGCCTCTTAGCTGGGGATGTTATCAGCGAATCTTAAATCCTCGAATTTATGGCGCTTTCTTTAAAAGTCTTATGAGTTTTGAAGTCTTATGAAAATATATACCATTCGTTAATGACAATAGGATTTTAAGTTACTTACTACTCTTTCTATTGATTTGTCTAGTTTATTTGTAAGATCACTTTTATCAATTAGTTTAGAATATTATATTTCATTTCAAATGGCTTTTCTCATCACGTTTCCAGCTTGTCATCTTGAGTCTTCTTATTATTAGATATATGTAATTTTATGTAGTTGTGAATGGCTTTAAATCATCACTACGTTGCATAAATTCTAGTGTACCACAAGGTTAACATTTAGGACTGGTTTTATCTTCCTGTTTTGCTTACTCAAATATTTATATTATGTACGCTGACGATCTTAAATTTTGCCGAGTTATAGACAACATTGAAGATTGTCATAAGCTCCAAGCTGATCTAAGCTCATTTGCTGGGTGGTGCCATCACAATGGCATGGCAATCAATATAGAAAAATGTAATTATTTGTAAAATGTATTATTAATTATAAGATATGCCAGAAAAAAAAATTGTTAAATGCATTTGTCACCTACTTTATGAATGTATATATTATAAATGTATGAATGTAATTTAACGCTGGCAGACCAATAAATAAATAAATACATTGACTAATTCTTATTGTTTCAGAACGACTAAACGTTCTCTATGAAAGAAACTGGACCAGACTAGTCCACGAGCAACTTCGGAAGTTCGAGTCTTCCATCGTAACGGCTGCGAGGCAAGCTGACTCACGTTCGTCAGAACTTGTACTAGAGTCCAAATGGACTTTCTCAGGGGCGCTCATATATTGCATTACACTGATAACTACGATAGGTAAGAATATAGTAGCATTTGATAAGCGCATTTTATCTGTATCTGTAGTCTATGCGAGTAGTAAACATTTGAATAAACCAATTTAACGGGTTAAAACGTGCAATATATGCATGCATATTTGAGTAGCTGCGGTCACAGGAAAATATCTGAAACGTCGCATTGGGCTTTAGTAAAATAATTTCAAATATGTTTAATTAATATATTACTTGTTTTAAACCGTTAAAATGTTTTATTAAAAAGATATCGTCTACGTATGTAGATTATCAATATTCAGAAGGCATACTTAAGAAACAGTAGCATACATTTATTGGTATTTAAATACCTGAAAGTGTAAGATTTACTGTGTCCTTAAACAGTTTTTTATGAATAAAATTTAAGAGATGCGACTAATTAATAAATTAGTAAATTCCAGAGCCAAAATAGGTTTACTTTACATCGGTTACATGGAAAATAAATAACACCGTTTTTACCAGGTTATGGAAATGTTTCACCAAGAACTGCTGCTGGTCGTGCGGCAACAGTAGCGTATGCAGCTGCCGGCGTGCCACTAGCATTGGCATGTCTAGCAGGACTTGGTGCGTCTCTAGCGCGATTAGCAAGAATGGCTTGGCTACGAGCAACTAAAGATAAAGTACCGAATACTTGGCGAAAGGAGGAGGTTAGTATATATCTAAAAGACTAGTAATTATCTTATCATTATCAAAATTAATACTGACATGTAATTCGCTAAAAATTATTTAAATCACTAAATTAAACAAGCAAGATTTCTAAAAGGAATGATATAAGTAAGGGTTAAAAACAAATTGATCCGATTTGATTTATCTTACGTGTTTTAAGATCATCCAATTTTTAGATGGAAAATCACTTTCAATTACACGAGCAACAACGTCTTTTGCCACAGCCGATAGAGAACAATCAATACACGTCATTTCCACCTCGGACGCATAGATCACCTGGGATGGTGAAAGCAAGAGCTGGAGAACGTGGACAGTACTCTCAGGTGTTCGAAAAAGCTCCAGCTAGTCCTCGATCAGCGACTTTGGGACGTGTGAAGCGTAGTGCTATTGTAGACGGTAATTATTAGATAGGTTCAGGATGAATGAATTAAAACTTAAATAGTTTATATTGACTATCTTGTTCATTACTTCATCAATGCTAAAATATAAAGCTGAAGAATTTGTTTGTTTGAACGTCATCTTAGGAACTACTGGTTTAAATTGAAGTATTTGTGTTAGTTAGAGCATTTATCGAGGAAGGCTTTAGGCTATTATAATACATCACAATCTGACAAATAGGAGCAAAGATACAGTGGGTAATGTGGAAGAAACGGAGAAAATTATTAATCTTGAAGAGTTTACGATGCGTCATATATGTCTATGGACATGGACGACGTCGTGACTAATGGGTAACAGCTAAATTTTGTTTTTGCAACGCGGATGAAGCGGAATCGCTGATACAGCTAGTTTTTTATATAATCGTTTATAGAGACATACTTAAGAGAACTATAGACGTCTTCTCGAATGATTTTGTCATGAAAAAATAATGCCTTGTTTCAGAGCCTCACACCTCATCGTCATTACAAACTCAAACGTTAGATAGAAAGAAAACCTTAGGAAACACAAAATGTATGGCGACAGTGCATAGTCCTGGAAGAAGTATGGCACGAGGGAGAGTGATCCAAAGACCTAGAGGACCTGTAATAGAACAACTAATTGCTGAGGAGTGTAGAGAATCATTACATAATAGAAGTCAAGAAGATTTAGATGATTCAGAAGATGCAGATGAATCGTAAGCAGACTTATATAAAAGAATGTAACAATACCGTTTTTAACGTTTGAAAACATTAATATTTTTCACATGTTATTGCACATGAAGGCACTATATAATTTAAAAATCGAAAATAAATTGAAAAAATTTTCGACTCGGGCAGGACTTGAACCGGCATCGTCAGCTTTCCGTGCTGTTGCTCTCACGCAACAGCACGGAACAACAGCAACAGCACGGAAAGCTGACGATGCCGGTTCAAGTCCTGCCCGAGTCGAAAATTTTTTCAATTTATTTTCGTTTTTAACGTGTTTTAATTTAAACTGCAACCCGATTTTTCAATTACCTCTTGGAAGCTGTGGTCATGAGGGAGAAATGAATTTACTAATTTGATGAATCACATTTTGAGTCGATTAAGTCGTTTTATTACTTTATAAAAGTTACGAGTGCCACATCTATTAAACAATACAATATGATTAACCTTAAATTACCTTAATTTATTCTTTTTCTTAATGATCTTAATGCATCCGAAACGTTAGGCCGAAGTTAAAAATCATTTACAAATAAGTTTAACTAATATATATCGCGTTTTAAACCGTTAAAGTGTTTTATTTAAATGTGTACTACTTGCGTAAACTATAGACAGTATTTAATGATTTTTAATGTTTGTGTTTTATAAACTTGTCAATTAACTTTTAGTTAATTGACTCAACGGCGGTTTTGTTACGTTTTATTATTCATGTAGTAGACAAAACTATTATAACAGTGAAAGTTAAATTAAGGTAAAAACTTGTATGTCTAAATAAGGTGGGTAATTTGTTACAGGATATGTCCCCATGACACCCCATCAAGAGTGCCTTTAATATGGAATGAAGAGAACCACAAGCAGAAGACCTGTGCAGTGCCCAACAGCAGTACTGCTCATACCATTCAGCATCACCTTCATAGCATCGAACACTGTCATATACCCATTAGTATTGTCCTATTCCTCTTGCTGGGCTACATTTTTATCGGCGCAGCGATCTTCTCCACCTGGGAAAACTGGAGTTTTCTTGACGCCGCCTACTTTTGTTTCATAGCGTTAGCGACGATCGGTTTCGGTGACTTCGTTCCTACAAGCTTTCTTATATCAAAACCAAACGTCGAGTATTCAAGAAGCGAGTATATTCAAATGATCGCTTGTTGTGCGTATTTAGTTTTTGGACTTATATTAATAGCTATGTCGTTCAGTCTTCTCCAAGATGAGGTCGTGGCGAGATGTTCACAATTAGCGAACAGCTTGGGTCTGTCTCGTCAATGACAGTACGAGAAGAGCGAATGCAGCTCAACGGATACTCACTTGAGAATGTTATGATCTTTATTGTAAATAACTTGATGATCCAATGTAAGTGGATGCTATTCGTTTATATTTTATAGATGTCATTATATCATAGACAAGATTGTTTTCTCATACGTATTATCTGAATATAATTTTATAATACTTGAAACTTTTTACGAAATTTATAATTATTTAAAAGCGGCCACGGCGGTGGATGTAAATAGTGTATAAATATTTATAAAAGCAAGGCTGACGTTGTAACAAAACAATAAAATTGTGTGAATTCTACAAGTTGTTTTATTGAAATGTAAATTTTTTGAAGAATTTTAAGTACTTACTTTTCGCGTAATATGTAGGGTTCATTGATCCGTAGCAATTTCAGATTTAATGGAACTGCGTTCTTCATTTAAAGCTTCTCAATAAGCTTCCTTTCACGGAATATATTATAAGAAATTGCATACAGACAATTATGACAAAGTAATATAAAAAAGATAGGTGTTTACAGTTTAGACAATCCTTTATTAATGATACAAATGCGATTAAATGTTCTAACCGCTCGGTCGTCCGGGTTAACTACTCGTTGACTGTGCGCCAACAACACAATGTACCGGTCAATTTCTAGTTGACTGTGCGCCGACATCACAATGTACCGGTCAATTCCTAGTTGAATGCGCGCCGCCGCGCTAAATGTAGGCGTCAATCTGTGGGTGACGTGGCCCCCGCGCTAAAATAAGTCGAATATACTCGTCCTCATCGCTCTCGAGGTTAGTTCGTATATTTAATTTCTCGTCATATCCATCCCAGTCGTCTATCCAAACCATAAAAAAAGTTATGTAATAATATAACAACGGTCCTCAGTCAGTGACGTGTTGTCAGTGGTGAGTGTTGTGATTTTTGTTTGATTGAGTTTATGTGATTAAAAGGTTACAAGTGTACCTCTTTGGAATGGCCATTAAATGTACTATAAGATATGCTAATTGTAATTTTTATATTTTGTTTAGTTTGTAGAACAATAAAATCAGAAAAATACAAGACGGCTTTAAAACGCGCTATATCAAGTTTAGCACGGCATAGCTATGGACCAGAGTCCTAATCTAAAGATCGAATGATAACATTGTATAGGTTGTTTAATAGTAAACATAACAAATATAACATTTGACAATCTTTCAAATTTGAGTCACAAGGACCGATAGCGTAAAGCCGGACGCAAAAACCGTTACAAACAATGGGGCATAAACGGGTGGCCTAGTTTTTGTCGCTGAGCGTTTAAACTTACCACGGTTAAAGAGCCGCCGGGTGTGGTCCGATTTTTTAGCCCCGGACGACCAAGGAGTTTAGGCAGTGTAAATTTTCAGTCTTAGATTAGAACTCCTGCTATCTCAAAAAATATTTTTAATCCACAATACATTTTAGATGTCTGATGTGATCTAGTAGCTTTAATTTACTTCAAAGATTTTTGTACTACGAAACTATTATCCGAAAAGAAAGGTTCAGAAAGAAAGTGTAACTGACAGTAGATCTAAAAGTTATTTAGTAAATAGACCCCTACAGGGGATTAACCTAATTCCTCCACTATATCGTCTGTACGCGAGTCTAACGGACAGACTACATATCCTTATTTCGTGCACCATAAAACCCAACGGGATGGTAGGATTAGGTGTGGTCCGGTATACTACGCTTCAGAATTATTGTCACTATTTCGTGCACTATGTAACAAGGGAATTTAAGAGCTAATGAATGGTTAAGATTGCAGCTCAAAAAATATATTTCGAAAATGAACTTCGTCAGTACACATGTACAAAGAAAAACAATCTTAATGGTTACATTCGTTTATAGATATCTAATATTATATATTATAAAATTGGACCATATGAATTCAAACATTGGTGACATTTTAAAATTCTGAAACTGCATATTCAAAATAAAGTAATAAAACGTAACACTTGTTAAACGATTCAAAGTGTCTTAAAAAGTTATATGTATCGAAATAACCATGAAGATTATCAAAGATACAGCGATATAATTATTATTTCACATTAACACGTCATATAGATAACCTAAATTATATACTATACTGCTAATACATAACATGCTTTATATGTAAATATTAACTGTTTTTAAGTAATAATACATGTACCAAATCTATTTCAAATACGTTTAAGTGCAATCTGAATAGAATCAAATCGCTTTGTCTAAAGGAATTAAATCCAAAGTCACAAAGGAAAGTGGAGATCAAACCTGTCAATAGAGGAAGTTATTTCAACTAGCTCAGCTAGCGAAATATCGCCCAATCCACCTGTTTCCAGCAGCTCTTTGATGGAGAAACTTAATAAAACTTTGCTATGCAGAGTTTGTTGACAAACTTTCTATGAATACTCGAATTTGCGAACCGAGTCTACCGTTTACATTACAATTATTTATTCATCGTATAAAATGCTTCTATTCGTTCTGTTTAGTATTTCCTTTTTACACAAAAAAAAACAGATGACGATAGCCAAACAGATATTACTTTGACATTAGAGATGCTTACCATCTTTAGTAAGCCAGCGTAAACCATATCTTTTAAGCATTAGAAACGTCGGGCCATGGTTAAAATAAAATATGTTACTTACAAATAAAAAAAGTATATATTTCCCCTTAAAAGGCTTATATTTAATTTACTCGTTTTAACTACAAACAATACTTTGGTTATAGTTTTTACGTCAGTTGGTTTCTCTTTCCTGCTCCGCCATTTTGAACTATAATGGTATCCTGCCTTTTCTCTACCTGTGTGTGACTGTGTGTGTAGTTTCCGTTTTTGTTTTTAGTTTTGGTTATTTATGAAAAACAAAATATGACTCTACAATAGACAAACTATTCTTGTGTAAAGGTTATAACCGGCTGAGTTTATAATGTCAGTTGCACTTGACCATCATATTTTCAAGAGCCAATTATCGCAATACTAATTAGCCATTTAATTGCTGCAGCCTACTTATTTACTACGTTGGATTTATTCGCTGCTGATTCTCTGTTAAGTAGAAGTAATTCAAAAATAAATAATTTCACTACTGAGTTATTTAAAACCTTCTTATCCATTCTTTACCTACATCTATTTCGATGAATATTTTGAAGTGGTTCAAGTAATTGTTTAATTTAATTATAAATAATAGTGTACATAATCTACTGATTACGAATTCTGTTTCTTTTATTATTTGGCAACATCAAATATGAGTCTATGGGAAATGTGTAACCAAATATAATTTGTCTGTGTCGTAGTGAAAATAAAAACGTTGATCGACATTGACGTGCTTAAACACCTGTCCAGGGTGTTTTTGTTGTGTTTCTTTCTAGGGCTATTTACTTTCCATTAGTCTTATTACTAGCTTGTTATGCTTATAACTTTGTTAGCGTGTTACTAATGATTTCTTGTATAAAAACAAACAAAACTTAGGTATATGTTATTAATGTAAAATAAAATTTGAAACATTTAAACCAACGCAGCCTCTGTATTGTAGTTATGGATTTTATTATTAATTTAAATAAATTGATTTGCGCAATAAACAAAAATCTTAAATTTTATCTCCTTTAGAAGTCTGATCAGTTTTATTGTAAATAGATTAGCTGAACTACAAAAATATGCAAAAAATGTGCTAAAAACAATACGAAAAGCGACGCCAATTTATTTAAACAGTCGTTTTAAAAAATTTCTTATATTTGTATTAAGAAAAAGATCTATGAATAATATCTAATGGACATCGGTTCCGAAATGTGAAGCGATTTGTTAGGTTTTACAATAGAGCCTCAATCGGATATACAAGATTGATTCCGCAATATTCCCCTAATCCTTTGGAATCCAACCTCCAATATTCTTCCGCTTAAAGCATTTCTATTGGCAACTTCCATATAATTCCGTCTCTAAACTATCGTGTATAAATTAATGAATATGAAGGATAGTAATCTCTACTAAAATATAAAGCCGAAGAGTTTGCTTGTTTGAACGCGCTAATCTCAGGAACTACAGGTGAGGATTGAAAATTTATTTTTGTATTGCTTAGAGCATTTATTAAAATCAGTTGAAGATTCCCAAAAAAATTGACAAAAGAACGACGGAACCCGATTTTGATTACCGAAATAACTATTTTACGGGAACGAAAACGTTGACACAACTAGTTAAATATATTTTTAAATACCCTCTCACCTAACGCTAAATTTGAATTTCGAAAAGAAAAATACGTAAATCTTTCAGTTCCCTTTTTAATAATTGGCCTTCTTAATTGGCGTTTCGACTTATAATTAAGGACCAAAGTTACAGATAAATTGGTCAATATTATTTTTTCAATCAGCAATATTGTATCCTGCCAGTATTACACTTAAGTATGTTTCTAATTGCTTATTAGAATAATAAATTGTTTTATTATTATTTTGAATTCCCATGCTTGTCCTTCTCTGTCATAAAAAACTTATCTTATATACCTTTTATTTGACTGGAAGCAGAACAATTCCTCTATATAATAATATCACAGACAATTATAATCACTACTATTAATTGTTTCTTTCTTTTGTTATTAAAGTGGTGAATAGTACCACACGATATTCGTTAGTCGGGAAGTTCAATCGAAAGATATATTTGTGCATACATTAGCACGTCTTTTTCGTTGAAGAGAACATCGTAGGCTAACCCTGCACGGCGTAGCAGAAATTTTAAATAGCAAACGTTTGGCCTATGAAAATGGTTCCTAAGAGGGTGGCCTCTTAGGAACCATTTTCATAGGCCAAATCCCATCTGTGGGAACTGTTAACCTGTGGGATTATAATTATTTAAATTAGTTATGTTCATTTACTATTGTATAATATAGTTATTACATTAGTAAATTAAACTTCAGCTATTATACATTCCTCAGCTTTGTACGAATGATTTTTATACTAAATGCATTATTCACACCACTATAGAATCACAGAGAATGGATAATAAACATAATATTTAATTCATATTGCCTTTACTA